CCTATGACTTCAGTGGTGTCGTTGCTGCCACCCAATCCACTGGCCCTTTATCTCCATCCAAAGCTGACCAATGACCTCAACAATCTATGTTGGTCGACAATGTAACTTCAGTTAGCTCGCGTGTTTTTATCTGAAGCCATTATGCTCGCGTTTCTCTAGCTTTCGCTATGTTTTGTAAAATGTGACATTATTTAAAAAATGATGTCGCTGGCAAGAGACAACAGCTCAGGGAAAGTGAGCACAATTGTTACTGATGGTAGATACATATCATGTAATTATAAACTCCTGTAACTTCCTTCCTAATATTAGGTACAGATCACAATATTTATTTACAATAACTTCCATGTAGAAAATTGTAGCATCATGTACATTAAAATCAAACAGCGCTGAGCGGATGTTGCCTTAATTAGTTAGTTTTTAGCCACCTACAAAAGACCCACCAAAAAAATCAATACCAGTTTAGGTGAACTCTATATTTAGAATATTTTCACCACTTCACCCTGCCATCAGACATCCTTTTTCTGGCAGGTAACTGAAGCCATCGAATCAACGTTACCAGACTCCAATGATAAAAACAGTAATTTCAGGTATGGATACTTGAGTTTCTGGTCTACCGCTACCTCAGTTGGTTAGTGTGTAAGGTGAAAGTATTTAAATATAGTGTTTTTTTAGGTGGCCAAAATACGTTTTTCCTGCAACCCTGTCCACAGCAGTATACTGTTCAGCTTCCATGCCAGTAGATTCTAATATGATAAAGTGACAAGGTCATAAAATAAGCACATCAGAAACATCAGATAGGTCGGACCACTGAGTTTAACTATATGTGTTTAAATAATACAGTTACAGCTGAAAATGACAATAGAAATCAACAAGTTTGCCACAACTGTATTCAAGCCATGGGAAGGAACATCTTTGACTCCATGTTGCCACTGATTTTTTTAATCAATAAATGATTGCATCTTTACGTTGCTGTGTATTTATTTTATGAACCATTACCAGTTATCTGTAGTAGCTGTTCTATAAAAGCAAAAGACACTTCTCCACTCTGCGTCTTGACTAACAACAATCACCCCTTAGCTGTACTATAATCCCTGTAAACCACAGCCTCTTGAGGCTAACAGCTTAAACTGAATCCTACTGTTGAATGTTATTAAAATTATTTTTTACACATTTGCAAATAACTAAAGGCTTAAATAATTATAACTCTATGTCTAATCACCTTTTGTCAGCTGAAAAGGCAAAAGCACAAATGCTTTTATTGGCGGCCTAATTCATGATCACAACTTGTCACCTAGATTTGAAAATATGATGAAACAGTGATTAAATGTATCTGAGAGAAGAGTCAGTCAAAGGATCCCTGCTGAACTGAAAAAACACACAGTCCACTCATGGTGTCACACAGTTTTGTTACAGAGTGATGCGTCTTTTCACTCAATCAATCTTTGGCTGAACAAAGACACCGGCTGCACATTAACCACAGAACATCCAAGCTTTTTATTTTAGCTGTTACTAAATTAATGTTGATAGGCTGCAGCTGATCTAATGTGCCTCCAGTGATGTCTGTCATTTTGACCAGCGGACACTGGATCAAAATGACATTCCTTAAGGGCCCGAGCTTAAACTGTTAGCATTCATCTCCCCTCACTGCTAATATTCTTCCACCTCAGTCACTCGCTGGTGCTTAAATGCACATGGTGAAGACTCACTGCTACCACTTTGAGAAGCAGCGCACATCATCAAAACTCGAAGCATGAGAACAAAATCCAGCATGGAAAAAAGAAATAAAAACATCAAGGAATCAAAATGGCTGCTGGAGGTATTTTCTGTACCAAATGTAAAATGGAGTACTCCATGCAACAGCTCATGTTCAGTCACTATCTGGTGAAAGATAAAGCTGAAAATGTATTTTTGTGGATGACAATGCTACAAAGCAAGCAGCAAGAAAGGCAAGTATCTCCACAAATGATACGGAACAAGCCTGGAGCACGTTTCCTTGGTCATACATTCATAAAGTGTGCTGTATGCCGGGATGCAGTCAAACAACACACCAACCGCTGCACTCCAGTGGGGATGCTGATGACGTTATTAGAGCAGCGTTGTGGGTCGCAGCGCAAGAGGCTCTTCACGTAAACAAATCCCCTCAAGAGCCTCCAGAGGTAACAAACACAGACTTCAGAGGTGTTAACCATCTGACAAATTCACACAGAGAGTCTTTGTCCTGTCATCACTGTCATTATGTACAGAGCGGCAAGACAAGAATACTAATATGATTTAATGAGCATGGATGGAGGCATCTTTCACTTAAGTGTCAGGCTCCAGGGTTTGGGGGACCTCATTATTGCTAAAACATTCAGAGATGCTCCACAACAACAGCAGCAGGGGCTGGTGCAGCAGGCAAGGAGAGGCAAGATATTTATATGTATGCCACAAACACAATTCAAAGGGATTTACAATACATAAGGCATAAATGCATTAAAAGTTTAAAAGACCATGAGAAGGAAAAATAAATTAGCATAGAATGAAAGGAGGGAAAATACACAAGCATGATGGATAAGAGAATAAAAGTAGAGCAGTTTCAGAAAAGAATGGCCTAAAATGTTAACATAAGTATCGGCAAACACTAAATTAAAAGCAGTAAGAGTTGGAGCAGAAACTAAATGCTGCTTCACCCTGTTTTATAAGCTATCTAAGATGAACTGAGATTTCTAGAGAATCAGATAACAGTACTTCTTTGTCCATAATCAATTAGGCGCCTTACAAAAAAGTAAAAGCATCTCAAAGTCAATATGTTGGCACACAGGTAGACGGTGCAGTGATCTGAGGACTGGAGCGAAGCGCTCTACTTTCTTAGTGAGTGAACAAGCCACAGCTGTCCGATGCAATGCAGCCATCCAGAGTACCAAAAATAAACATGTGGCCCGGCTTTTTAATCATGCCAGCAGCATCACTATAGGGATACTGACGTCAGTCTGCAGGTAGGCCGACCGCTTTGATCCAGACTGAAATATCTCAACAAATATTTGATGGATTGCCATGATATTTGTTGGAGAACATTCGTGGTCCTCAGAGGATTAGTCCTGCTTACCTTGATGATTTGTAGTTTTTAGTGAAATGGCTTTACTGTTAAATGGTTTACTGTAAAATTTGGAACTTACATTCATGTTCCAGACAGGACGAATTCTGTGTCATCAGGTCTGTCAGATACTTTGATTTATGACCAAACAACTGCAAAACTAATGACCTTCCCTTAAGCCTCAGCTGTACTTTGTGTTTCATGCTAATTAACAATTGTTAGGCTGCTGGAATGCTACACTAAGATAGTGAACATGGTAAACATTAGACTCGCTGAACATCAGCATGTTAACATTGTCACTGTGAGCATGTTAGCATGCCGATGTTTGTATGTAGCCTAAAGCATCGCTGTGCCTCAGCTCCTACTTAAGCCTCATTTTCACTGCATGGTCCGTATAGACTCAGTTTAACTCAGCTCACTTTTTGTTCCAGGTCCATTTCTCCATTTCATCTTCCACTGTAAATAGTGCGCTCTCAGTACAGGCAGGATTCTCAGCTGATTGCCATAGTGATGCCGTGTGAACTCGCCAAGACATCATCTTTAACGTGACACTCCCTGAATTTTGTCATTGGCAACCCAAGAGAGGAACATCTGCACCTCATCACTTGTACACCATAATGTACAGCAAATTTTTGTGGGCTTCCATTTTCCAAAATCTGAGTTGGGTGAATTAAAAAATTGCAGTTGCTATTGTCAGTAACTTTTTTACAATGGGCTTGTGCAAGATGTCCTGTGACATGTCTCTCTGACTAATCAGTGGTCTGCAGTGTGTTATTCCTATCCTCTAGTGCCGGCTCAGTGTGCTTGGAACATCAACTGAGATGGTACCTAAAAAAGTAACAGGTACTATCTGCAACTTTTGCTAATGGAAAACCAAAAATGAGTGAGTCAAGCAAGTGCTGCAGTGGTCCAGAATGGACCAAAGGTAAATGACAGTTTGGCTGTTAAAATGTAGGTCTGACTCTATTTACTACACCAACATTGCTAATTTGATTTTAAGCCGGCAGAAAGAGGGATTCAAGGTCAGCGCTGATATTTGACCTCTCTCTTTTGACATCCAAAAAAAAATTTTTTTTGTTAAACTTGAGCACACTGGCATATCCAACCAGTGATTTCTCTTTAGTGCTTTTATTTAAGGATTTAATTGGACTGTTAACACTCCTAAAACATACTCATATTACGAGAGGGTCATGAGTAGATGTAATGGTAATTGTGTCGCAACAGTAATAATATGGGTGAGAACTTAATCGTTCAATAAAGCATTTGACACTCATTAAAATTCTTGGCTTACTGTATTGGAGCGGAAGGTGTATTACACATCAGGAGAAGAAAAACACCTGAGTGAGAGGGGCGGGCAGGGAGAAAGGGCTCAGGTGTCTCTGTTTAGGTGTTAAGAGTGTTTACATCCTTTCAACTCCTCAGAGAGAAATGTGAGAACAAAACCCCGGCTTTAACTAAAGGATCATCTTCATCCGACAAACAAGGATTTCTATTCAAGCAGGAGTCAGTCTCTCACTGGGAGACATGTCAATCCTCCGTGAGCAGTTGTCAAATGGTCCGATAAGCATGAAAGCCAAATCATACATCATGATTCTTCTCCATCACCAGACCTCAACTTCTTCCAACACGTCTGGGAGACTGGAGCTGTGACTGTGGAGTTGTGACTGTCATTGTGTTTTCCGCCGACGTTTAAAAAAAAAAAAAAACCTGCCTTGGAGAACTTCTTGTGTGTGAGTCAGTGTCACAACATCCCTGCGTGTTCTGCATGTTTAATTTCTGCCAGGGTAACTCATGTGAGGTGCTCCCTCCGCACATGAGATCACATGAAGCAGAAATGTCGTTTTAATAACCTTTAATGAAATCCTACTAAAAATAGACTTTGGGTGAAGTCGTACTTGTGGTTCAATTATTTAGAATAAAAAATTACCTGTTCTGGAAGGTGTTGAGCCCGGCGGGGACACACTGGACCCTCCACTGCCCATTCTGGTCGGGGTAAAGGACAAACTTGATGGGAGCCTCTATCTTGAGCTCCTTCTCCAGGGCAAACAGATGCTCCTTCCAGGGACACCCGCCCTGGGAGAACAACACCACCTCCCCACTGGGATCTACCTGGAAACGAGAAGAGGACCAGAAAAACTGTGTGTAACTAGCGTGCAAGGTAGAAGATCGTGGAGAGGAAACAGCAGTTTACTGTGTAATTTAGGATTTAAAAGTAAAATACATGATCTAACTGGAAAAATAAGAAGCCAGAAAAGAGTCTTTAGTTTTTGGCACTATAAATACAGTTTGCCGATGAAATGAAAACTTGAACTGAACAAGGAAACACTGGCACTGAAAAACTTGTATTACCACAGAAAAGAAAAGTACTGTCATTAAAATAAGTTGTACTGGAAAAAACAAAACAAAAAAAAACAAAAACAGGATCAAATATGAAAATCCTGCAGCGCCCCTATGTCCCTCCACTCTATACCATAACAGTGACAGAGAATCAAAATGGAAACTGTCACTGAAAAATACACAAGATACACAAACCCGTCACTGACAAAACATCGCCACATTGAAAACACTGGAAACATGTGCGTCATTCTTTATCAAAAGCTACATTGTTTTTATACCCGTGTATTATCTTTTCAGGTGAAAAGCTTTTTAATGACAATTTATTTTCCAAGTTTTTCAATGCCAAATTGTATCTTTAATGCCTAAAACTAAAGACTCTTCTCTGACTCCAAACTCTTGACAGTTTATCTCTCAATTCACCAGGAGCAACAAAGAGACACAGGAGGTTTGTAGGAATCTCACATCTATAATAGATGTTAGATCAATAATTATTTGGTCCAGCACTGCATTAATACTGTACTGTACAACTCAACAAATACTCATATAAGGAAAAAGCACAAGAAAAGGGAGAATCACGTTACTGCTGATTGATAATGAACTATAAAAGGACTGCTTTAATACTTTATTTATATACTAACCCATAAAATAATCATTTGTATATCAATAACTCACCCCGTGTTACTTTGAATTTGTGAAGAAAACGTTTTTGCTCACATGCCTTAAAGGTAGGGTCTGGAGGATTTTCCAGTTGCTGTTTGTAAACACACATTCAAATTTGGCCCCTCCTATCAGGCTCAACTCTCCCGGGTGTACGGACCCCGGAGGTACGGAAGAAGGCTTCACAGAAGAGGTTCAGGCAAGGCTCGCGATGGTGCACACTCGGACACACTAGGGCAAGGCACCTGCGCTCTCTCATTGGCTGGGGAAATCTCCGCCCAGAAGTGGTCCAAGCTCACAAAAACATCAAAATACAGTTAAAGGGCAGGAGCTCTGCAAACAGAGTCACCACCACACATGAGTAGAAACCCATAGTTGATGATTAAGCAGGATTTCATTTGTATGTCTATATTTTGTTTTGTTTGAAAATCCTCCAGATCCTACCTTTAACAGTGAACAAAGAATCCAAAAAATTCTAGATGCACTGAGGTAAACAGGGTCTATGTTTAACACAAGCAAAACTATATCACTATAACTATATATTTGAAAGACCCTTTTGCATATGAGTAGCACATCTGCCCATGTGTTCCAGCTTTGCCTTGCATTGAACAGAGCTCACATGCACACGCTTGCAGAGGTGCGCTATACTTTTTACGGGAGGTGTTTTAAATAGGAAGGTTTTAGCAACAATGCATGTGTTTGAGAGATACTGAAAACAGGACTGGATAAATGAGACTTGGATTTTACTGCACGAGATTGTACGCAGATGTTCTGATATTTTGCTGGTGTTAAAACATAGCCCCCAGTGACTTCAATTCATCAAGAATTTTTTTTCAGTTTTTGGATTCTTCATTCACAGTTGAGGCATGCGAGAAAAACTGTTTTCTCCATGACTTCAACGTAACATGGGGTGAGTAACTGATATACATTGATCATTTTGTGGATGAAGTATTCCTTTAACTATTTTACTGCTTGCAGTCTTTAAAAATAAAGTTACATGATCGATGGAAAATCAATCCTGACAGCTTCAGAAATGTCTTTTTTTTGGGACCTACGTGCTAAGTTACTATGCTTATAAAGGACTAAAAAAATAAATCCAAAAATGCACACACTAGATTGGACAGTCTTGTACCTCATGCCTCTTGTTAACAGCTTCCTCCACCACCGCACGAGCTGGTAACCAGGCAGACTGGTAGTACTCCAGGCGGTCCAGGAACTCCTCCCCAACCATCTTCATAGCCTTTTTGAAACCCTCCTTGTAAAAACATGAACACACAACATGCATCAAATCTGGTTTAAAAATATGAGAGCATACTGTAACATATTATGAAGGCAGAAATAGAGTTGTTTTGTGAAACTGATTAGCCTTTAGATGTCAAGTTGATGAATAAAAACTGCTCATGGTTCAAAATCCTTTAAGCTGATGATCATTCACACATTTTGTCACTACTGCCCTGTCTCTGAATCCCAATACAGTTTGATGTCAATAAGTGAGACTGTGTGCCAGATAAACCAGCCATCTCCACACTAATCCTCGCAGCCCTGCTTCATCAGCCTCCTGTCATGTCCTGCACAAACCCGTCTGACCTCGCTCTTTCATCGTGTCTTGAGCAGAAACTCAAGAGAGAATAAGACAAACACATGCACACACAGACACGCACAATTTGAAAGGCAGAAGCCTAATCTGCATGCATCTGATTGTGGAGGTTGTAGTGTCCCTGAATTTTAACTGTCGTGGATAGAGAGGATGAAAATCCATTAGGTTGTTCAATTATCACAAACAGCCACTGTTGAGAGTTCACCAGGTCAGTCTACCATCAAAACATTTTTTTTCTATAAAAAGCTTTCTCATTTTTTTCTGATCCCTCAGAGCTATCTTGCCTCGCGGTGTGACTTAGAAGGGGAATTGGAGGCAAACTGCCAGGACAAGAATCATAATCATGTGAAATGAAATGCAGGCCAGCTACTCCACTGAGACAGCACAGACGATGGAAAAAAAAATTGGTCAACATATATGCAAAGCCAGGCGGCAGGTATCATCATGCAGAAAACAGGTGCTGTTTCCCCGCAGGCATTCCCCTCCTGCTCTAATGAGAGACAGAGAAGAACAACAACTGCGCTACATTGCAACCGTCGTGTTGACCACAACAGTCTTAACCTATCTTTTGTTTCACTGATGGCTACCTATTGTGTGTGACTATCATTTAATGATGTAGCAAAACACCCCTTTTTTATCCTAGGGTCCTCCAGTTAAATATCAGGGTATCAAAAACAAAAGGGAGTTCAAGATAGGGCTTAGTCCTGGTGCTAAATGACAGGTTATTGAGTAATCAACTAGAGAGGTTGCTTGAGCCATCAATTAGATGTTATTTTATTGTTGTATTTGACATTTTGTATTCTTGATGTAACTTGGATTTTTAAGACTTTTTGACATCAAAATCAAAAATACATAATTGTACATACATATCTGTGTACAGATTGTTGATAATACCGGCTGTAGAGATGTCTGCCTTCTCTTCAATATAATGGAACTAGATGGCACTCAGCTTGTGGTGCTCAAAGCACCAAAAAATACATTTGAAAAAATAAACAGCAATGTTTCTTTCCAGAAATGATGGCCTGGTTACTTAAGATAATCCACAGACCTTGTTGTGAGCAGTTTCACTTAGAGACAATTTTCTTTCTACCAAACTACATCCACCAATAGGGTTGCAACATCTGATTTGTGAAAAACCAGGACATTTGACGTGTGACCCAGGGCGTTAAATATAAAATATACTAACAGTTGCAAGACTCCTTGTTGCCTCTCTTAACTCTATTTGTCCTGACGTGCAGCCAAGCTGCTAACACTTTGGGTTTATACCATGTCTGTGACAAAAAACAAGAGCGCATAATCTCCACTCACTCTTTAATGGGTTTAAGAGACTGGTTGCCATGGATACAGACGCACAGACCAAGTACATCAGTGGCTGAAAAATAACTGATCATACAGTCGACAAACTTAAAGACACCTTCGAACTGTTTTGGTCAAGTCATTTCATAGCAATCCAGGCTTTTGATGCACACTTTTTTTTTTTTAATTTAAATTTTTTAAATTGTATATACTTTATTAATCCCCAAAGGGAAATTCAATTTTTTCACTCTGTTGTCAATTACAGGACAGGACCTATACATGCACTAAGTGGAGAGATGTCAGAGTGGGCTGCCCATGACAGGCGCTCAGAGCGGTTGGGGGGTTCAGTGCCTTGCTCAAGGGCACCTCAGCAGTGCCCAGGAGGTGAACTGGCACCTCTCCAGCTCCCAGTCCACGCTCCATATTTTGGTCCAGACGGGGACTTGAACTGGCGACCCAAGTCCCTATGGACTGAGCAATTTGTGATTTCTTTCTCATCCCAACAGCAGCACGAAACACTAGAGTAGCCTAACTGTGACATCCAATCAGGGACTTGCAGAATAAAATAATTGCTGCACTCTGATGTGTCAGTTGTAAAGTGTAAAGCTCTAACAGCATGGTGGGGAATACAGTAGCCTACTAACTGCACAAAATAATGTGAAATGACTGGATAGCCTACCTAAGTCAACAACAGCCCATGCAGCAGTTGCTAGGTGATAAGATAAACTACTGTAAGTGCACGCATATGGCCAGTCGTCGCTGTGTTCTACTCATTTTTACCCCTTTACAGACACAGGTTTGGATGTCTAAAAGTAAAAGGGAAAAAACAGAACAGCAGTAGAAGAATCTTGTTTTATTTGGTACTCTGGCATTTCAAATTAGAAGTATATTTTCACAAAAAACAGGGACAGTTTGTGTCCTGGGAAAGAATAGCCATTTTCCAGGGCAGTCACTGAAAAAAGAGAACCAGGAAAACCAGAACGTGAACCCACCAACCTGATCACCACGTAGAAGGAAGTGTGCATCTACTGCTAGCTTACCCAGCACCACTGAGCTAGCTTACGTTACAGCTCTGTCTAGGTGGACGCCAATGTTTATATTTCGCCCTGTCAGGAGCACGAGCCTCTCATCCATGAGTAGATGCATGTTTCCTATGCTGTGATAAAGTTGGCAGGTGTAGTAGAAAAGCTCCTACATGAAACTGCTCACAACAAGGTCTGTGGATTAACCTGAGTAACCAGGTCACGATTTCTGGAAAGAGACATTGCTGTTGAGTTGTTGTTTTTTTTGCCATTTGAGCACCACAACCAAAGTGCCGTCTACTTCCGTTACACTGGAGAGAAGGCAGACATCTCTACAGTCAAAATCTCCATCACTCAGCATCTCACACCGAAACAATCTAGACTGATAAACAGCACTACAGATAAAAGGAAAAATATGTATTTTGATGTTGGGGAGAACTGTCCCTCTAAGTTTATGTTTTTTGTTATCATCTATCTGTGCCTATGTTCGATATAATAGGGCTGAAACATTCAGGCAATTAAGCTTGAAAAATTCAATGAGCAACAACTTACGCAACCACTTTGATAAATCAATGAATCGTTAGTGTCGCTTTTCAAGCGAAACATGTGCACCCAGTGTCATCCTCTCTAATGTGAGGATTTGTTGCTCTTCTTTCTCTTATGCAATAGTTTTTCTCTGTAAATAACAATGTATTAATATGTAACTTAAGTGTTTACTCATTTTACTTATATTCATACTTTCATACTCTTTCATACTCTCATTCATACTACAAGATAGCAGGACAAGTTGATTATCTGGTAATTATTATTATATACCGTTACCGTTATTTTGTGTGACAAAATTAAAAGGGAATAACAATGGTATATTTAGAAAAGTTTAAGGTATAGGTTTATCTATATAAGGAAGCTGTCTGTTTCATTTCACTCGATGACTTAATGAGAAGGGATGAGACTTCATACATTTATACTTCCTCCCACTTCTTTTTGGATGTGTACATCAAAGTATCTATTCATGAACAAGTGCTTTTACATTATACTTTTCATTATTTGGAAATTTTATTTCTGTCTGTCTGCTTGTCTGTATTTTCATGTCTTTTTTTACATGTTAGACATAAATATCAAATATGATTATCAAGAAATAAATAGTAACTCAGTGTTTGGACTGTTAGTAGGTCAGACAAATGCAATTTGAATACGTCAGCTTGAGCTGCAGATATTATTTTTCATCGACCAAGCAAATAATTGGGAAACTAATCCCAATATTAAATTCATGTTCACATTTTAACATGTTATACCTTGGATTCAAGTAGTCTTGTAGCTCCACAAATAAATCAGCATTTAAAAATCGCCTCTTTGGATATTTAATATATATACTGATCTCAGTAGACCGATGTCCTTGGAATAATATGGTTGCGATTAAAGAATATCAGCATCACAGTGTTATGTGTCTTATGTTTTTACCTTGGACAGATAAAAAGTAACATACACAGAGTAACAGACAGTGCCCACGAGTCATACTGTAGAAATCCAGGCAATTATAAAACACATGTGCACTGTATCCAAAGAGCACAGCCTTTGATGCTGCTGTTAAGTATCCCGCTGTGATTCTCACATGTTCTCACACGTTCTCACATGTTCTCACACCTCCCTCTGATGAAATGTCTTGTGATGCTGCAAGGACAATTTATTTACAGTGACCCTCTCACTGAAGTCATTCGCTCTTTCTATTAAGACGACAGGACCCTTATATCTCCTCATAGGATCTTATGTCACAGATACAGGCCCACACACATTAGATGTAATCTGTGACCTTGAGTTTAAAAGACATGTAATATAAAAGCTGCATCAGACCAGACTGTGTGCTAAGTGAAAGTGTACATTCACACTCGTGCAATCCCTCACCTCAGTGTCCTGATTCTTGCTGTTCCAGCGTGGGTTCAGGTGGCTGACACGTGCGCTCAGCGTGGTGGAGACAGAGTAGCGGGCCTCCCCATCACACTGTGAAATGCCGTTGTCTACAGCATCCACCTCCTCCACGAAGTTCTCATACAGCTGCGAGGAATTAAAAGAGACATGTGACAGGGGAGGTTAGGAACCTGTAATGACATGGGAATTGGCTGTTTTATGTTCATGCTAATTTTGAAAAAGGACGAACTTGCAGTGAATCCCTTTTTCGAGCCAGGGAAGTTCAGAAAGACGGGACTTTCAGGAGAGAGCAATGTACTGGGATTACATTATTCTGATTGAAATCCATTTGGTCACAGTGTGTGGGCAGTTACTGAGGGCTAGAGTGCATGGCTAGGTCGTAAAACCAAGAGGAGGAGACAAATTGCTGCTATTTTACAGTTAAATGGCAAAGCTCCAGGAAGATGTGGAAGAGGAGCAGAGAAGTGGAGACATATTTAGGGCTGAAAAGCCTCAGTGCATCGGAAGGCCAATCACCACACAGCTGACATTTTACAAGTGGCTTACGAGTGGAACTAAGTTTTGGGGCACAGATAGAGATTCAGTTTGTCTGAACTGGCTGAGGACAACACAAGCAGCATCCTAAAATAAATAAAGCCCCAGCCGTGAGTAAAAGGATTACTCTGGGCTTAAAACAAACTGACACATCAAAAGGCCAATGATAATGTGAGTTAATGGTGCTAATATTTATGGTGACCTAAGATTTGGCTGGATTAATGTGCCTGGCCATCAAAATATTATATGCGCTCAGGCCTGGAACAGGAACTTTGCCACATCTCTGTCCTCAGTATGTCTTCCTATTTATGCTTGGACTCTGCTGCCAACTGCTAAAGGCAAAATGTCACAAACTAAACTTTAACGTTAACATTTTGCATGCGCTTTACACTGTCACTGTCACTGATGTCCCTCCTCCTCTTCCTCTTGCCTCTAATGACATTTTTTTTGTTAAAATCGGCTCCCAGAAAACAACAGATTAGAGCCAAGGATTGTCAATCACGTCAATAATTGTTTGTTAAATGCCGTCAAACTGGTTTCTGTAACTGAATTGTCTATTTCTCGCTTCAAATTATTTCAGAAACATTTTTTAGTGTACTTTTTAGCTGTAAAATGAGAAAGTTGGTCCGGCCAGTGGACAGCAGTTTCCAACACGGCAGCCAGGTCACAAACTTTCTCTTTTACAGCTAAACAGTACACTTAAATATATTTCTAATAACATTTGAGGCGAGAAATAGTCAGCGCAGTAAACAGAATTTTGATTCATATTTGATCAGTGCTGCCTAGTTGAATTGTTTGACCGCAGTTCATAAGCAGTGACTGACATGATTGACAGCTGCATTAGAGACTCCTCGACTCTGATTGGTTGTTTATGTTTGCAGTACGACTATTAGAAGCCATTCAAGAAGGCAGAGGATTTTCTTCCCTCTGTCTCATGTCTTAATGTGTGAATATAGTGACAATTTCAGCAAATACGACAAAAAGATATATTTATAAAGGTTAGGAATATCTGAGTATTTAGTTCACCATGGTCAGAGGCTTCATGGTGTCTATTTTAAAACAGCCAAGGAGTAAGCAAAGTGCAGCGCACAGACATAAGTGTCCTTTGATTCTTTTGTGATTCATGATGAAATCGACTTTGCCCGCTAATCCGTCATCCTCTCCCTCTCACCTTATCGTAGAGCACCTCCAGCTGCTTGTCACCCTCCTTCAGCTGCGTCAGCTGGGCCAGCAGCTGACGACCGAAGTGCAGGTAGACCAGGCCGGCTGAGCTGAGCTTGGTCACCCATGGCTTCTCTGGACACAGGCTGTGGAAGCTCTCTGCAAAGGTCCTGGACAAAGAGAGGGTATTATGTTAGCTGACTGCAACAGAAAAGCCTTTTAACAACAACACAATATTCTGTTCACAGTGGATGGAAAAGGTTGTAATGTAAAAACTGTCTAAAGCTTGCACATGTATGATGTTTTGAAACAGATGCCAGCCCCACATATTAGCCTTTACTGTATGTAATTGGTGCATAATGCAGTGAGATTGTGCTGCTGCAAATGGTGTTAAAAGAAATAAAGATAAACAATAAGTAGTATACAGAATTGTGCTGTAACTTAAAATCATTATAAATACATCGAGTAATTTGTTTTTCAGTTGATCCATTAATCATGTAGTTTATAAAATGTCCTGTTTTATATCATTGTAAACTAAATATCTTTGGCTTACAGACTGTTGGTCTGACAAAGAAAGCAATTTGGAAACATCAGCTTGAGCTTTGGGGACACTTTGATAGATATTTTTAACTTTTTTTTTTTTTTTTACATTTTATAAGACAAAGCCAACAATCAATGACGGAAATAATTTAAAACATATTCCCTCCTTAACAAATTTAGTAGTGACAATAACATGCAGATAGTAGATTTACTTATGTAATAAAACAATTTAATCTAAACATGAGCTGAGATGATTGGCATGTTTGCTGACATGTGTCACAGCAGTATACTTGTATTGTCTACCATGTCTCCAACATCAAAGGGGAATGTGAAACAGCTTATATTAGTGCTAAAAAGAGCGAAAACACTGTGTGGTCTGTAGGCAGACAATATCCAATCAATCAATACCAAAGCCAGTCAAGTAACTGAACACAGACTGACAACCGAAGCATCCAGGTTGTAAGTAAAAATCCTTTACTAATGGTTTTTAATATAAAGGAGTTTTACTGACAGTCAGAGTGCCTCAGATGCTTTTTAAACTGTAGACCTTTACCATGGATTAACCATGGAAGTTAAGTTAAGTAAGCTGGACAGTCATTGGGCATCATGCAGGAAGCAATATATGAACAGATTTTCCCCAGTTTTTTGTTCATATCCACGTGATTTGTTCTGATTTTGTTAGTACCCACTGAATTCTGGGATTCACTAATGTTTTCAAATTTTTGCTCTTCTCTTAGGTAAGAGAAAATTTGAGTGGTCGGGAGCGCTCTTACAAAGATGAGAGAAAAACATTTAGTTTTCACAATCCACGAATTGTCTGTATGCTGCAAGGAAACACAATATTTTTTTTAAATGTTCTGAGTAACATATAAAAAAAAGAATGTATTTCATGTTATCAAATTTTGATTATATTTTAGAGCAATCATAATGATTGGATTATTACACTTCAGGGCTGAGGAAATACTACTTCAGGGCTGAGGAAATACTACTGATCCCACTTACTGTAATTGCAGATACTGTACATCCCTCTACATTTACTCAAGTACTGGACCTAAGTACAAAAGTACTTTTACGTTACTTGAGTATTGTGATCTCGTGATACTTTCTACTTCTACTCCACTACACTTCAGATGATAATATTGTACTTCTTACTCCACTACAATAATTTCATAACTTTAGTTACCACTTTACAAATACACAAGTACAGCTGAAACGATTAGTCGATTGATTAGAACATTAACTGTCAACTATTTTAATAATCGTTTCAGTCATTTTCTAATGCAAATACATTTCATGGTTCCAGCTGCTAAATATGAGAATCTACTGCCTTTAATTTACAATATTTTCATTTATTAAATTGATTTACAGTTTTCTGCACTGAGTACTTTTACTTTTAATACTTAAATACATTTTCTTGATTGTACTTACATACTTTGACTCAAGCAACATTTTCAATGCAGGACTTTTAGTTTTAACAGGGTATTTTTACAGAGTGGTATTAGTACTTTTAGTAGTAACAATTACCACTGCTTCTTACACAACATTTACATCATCACTAATGTTTTGCCATTCCTGGGTTTTTTTATTTTCTGTAACACCTGTACCGACACTCTTCTTCTTCTTCTTCTTCGGTGGCATCTCTCCGATTCTTGGGCATGTGCCAGAGTATCAGCACACCTGCCCTTACATAGTGTTTAGGGGGTGTTACCTATGCTGAAAGGTTACTTATGAGCAAGTGGGATTCATCATTCAGCGCACCTGAGTAAGAGCAAATCTGGATGGTTAAGACCATTTGGTGCATCTGGAGTCGACTTCTCTAATTTCAACTCTTAACCAAAAATTAAGAGAAAATATATAAAGGAAACTTAAGAGTTTGTTACTGCAACAGGCCTCTCCTTTCCTGTTCTTACGTGACGACTTGACATATCCTCGAAGAGCACCTGATTTTTTACTATAAATTAATAAATTATATTCATCTAAGCTCCAGGGTGACCTTGCATTGACCAGAAAGAGAGAGAGAAAGCATGCATGCGCTGGCGTGTTAGTCAGCGTGAGCACACACGAATAAAAGCCACCGGAGGTCTCTTCTCAGCCACGTGCTGAGATGGGTGGGCTCCAGTGCCCAGCCACCGCTGGTCATTTAATTCAGGCTTAATTAGGATGCTTGGGCTGTGGCACAGCGGAAAACAGACCGTCAAATGAATGACTGACATGCTAGGGAAGCAGGGGGTAATCACAGCCATTAAAGGACTAATTGGCCAAGCTGAGGCATTTCTATGCTGATTACCAGGAGATGGGAGTGAATGAGCGAGAGGAAAATGACACGGAGAAATGGAGAATAGCTGAAAAAGAGAGAAGTCATCAAACTCAGTGTGAAGTCACACATGGTAAACTTGCCATACAGAACTACATTAATATATGTTAGTAAGGAAGAATATAAACCAAGAGTTGGAAATACTTTGGCAAGAATTAAGTATTACTGACTACGATTTCCATATTGCACCAGCTGCATCACTTCCTTATGCTTACAATAAACAATGGCTTTATTGCATCCTATTTACCGTGTGCACAAAATAAAGCTTCATGAATATATTTCTTACTTGAAGCCTCAGAGGAGCTATTCAAGCACTTTCTGAAAAAAAAAAAAATGTACTGGCAGGTAATTTCCTGTCATTCTGTGCACAGTAGTGCCTTAAAATGATAGGAAATTTGTGAAAGTGTAAAAGAGCACAGTGTGGCCTTTCACAAGCTTTGGAAGTCGACTTTTCAAAAGAATTGGCCTGATACAGCAACATTCTCTTAAATTTCTATATCTTCTCTTTAATTTTCCACCAAAAGAAAAACAAGAGAAGTAAACTCCAGATGCATCAAACGTTCTTAACCATCCAAATCTGCTCTCACTCAGGTGTTCTGAATGATGAATCCCACTTGATTTTAAGTAACCTTTAAACATAGCTGACGCCCCTTAAACACTATATAAGAGCAGGTGTGGTGCTGTGTGTAAAGACTTTGGCACATGAATCAGGGAACTGGAGAGACGCCACCGAAAAAGGCTGTAAGAACTTCTGCAGTAGTGACATTGATGTACTGTTAAATAAACATAACCAAAGTGAACATGTAATTTTCCAGAGGGTCAGTACTGGTGTTACAGGAAAAAATAAAAATGAAGAGAATGAACAGAAAAGGCAAAGGATTTGTGATGCTGTCAATGTCGTTTCAGCAGCAATGATGCAGGAAGTATTCAGATCCTTAAAAGTACTTATACTACATTGTAAAAACACTCTGTTACAAGTAAAAGTCCTGCACTGAAAATGTTACTTAAGAAAAAGAAAAACATACTAAGTATTAAAGTAAGAGCGCTCAATGCAGAACATTTTTAATCAATTTAATAAATCAAATTAATTAAAATAACTGAAAGGAAAAGCAGCAATGACATCATGTTTGAGAAGCTGGAGCCATTAAATGTTTCTGCATTAAAATAATTGTTGTGTGCAAAAAATCTTAATTCATAAAGTAACAAGTAACTTAAGTTATTAAATGATTGTAGTGGAGTAAAAAGTACAAAATTTCCATCTGAAATGTAGTGAAGTAGAAGTAGAAAGTTGCAGAAAGTTTTTTATACTGTACTTGAGTATATGTACTTAGTTAGTCCCTGCAAAGTCTTAGGGCTGCTGTGCATCTGTGCCTTCTTGGGGAAACAAAAGTTTGTCTTGGGTGCATCGTACAGTAAACAAACAAGAAAGGACAACAGAGAAGATACCTGCACACCAATGTAACTGGGCTAGAAAGCCACAAAAAGGTCCACAAGCTGGGATCAGTGCAAAAATAGTCTATTCATTTAAGACATCAGTGCACAAAAAATGATACTCAAAGTGCAAAAAAATAAGTAAAAACAGCAGTAAACGTTTCAGTCCTTGACTATCATCAGTGCTACTTAGTTAATCAGCAGAAAGATGCACAGTAAGTGAAATTACAGTAATTAGGATCATTGGACCAAGTATAGTATGATTTCTTTAGCCCTCAAATTTAATAGTTCAATCATTATAGTGACTCTAAAACACAATAATCTAAATCTGATTATATAACATTCATGCATTTTTTATGTTCCTAAAACTTATTTATTTGGACTAATAATTTGTGAACTGTGAAAGCATGTTTTTTTCCTCTTTGACCACATGTAAAATTGTCTCTTACCGAAGAGAAGAGCAAAAATAAGAAAACATTAGTGAATCCCAGAAATAGATTGGTACTGACAAAATAAGAACAAATAGTGGATAGTGGAAAAATGAAAGGAAATATGTCCATGATATGACAAAAAGGGCTTCATTGCTCCTGTCATAATGACCTTGATTGGTATTATGTCATTCACTGAGAACATATTGACAATCGTCTGTGCTTCTACTGGTGCTTTCCTTCTTGCTGTAAACAAATAAAGGTCAGAGTGTTCTTGACCCCTTGTACTGTATCCTGCTAATGACTGGCTCATCTCCAAAACATCTTTTTCCCCTTTGGTTTAAAAAGATTCAGACTAAGAATCTATTTATGTATTTTGAGATATTTCAATCTGGTTAGGAGCGTTCAGGGAATGTTCCTTTTTAATTCATTTAGATCTCACTGTGACCCTCGGTACTGCAGAGACGATCCAAATCACTTTATAGGAGCGCTTCAGAAAGTGTAATGGTCTCTGGCTCACTGCTGGCTTAACCCCTTCTTTTCTGGGAAAATGATTTTAGTAAGATTTGAGAACAAATTAATATTTGTAACTAAGTGCTGCGAGATTAGGGACGGCGCCAAATATGTTATATCACATTTATAGGAGAGGAATTATCAAGGCCTGTGTTTATTTTTACAGTGACATATTGAGTTACATACAAGATATAAATTATCTTTACAGATGACACACAAAACTTTAATGCCAATTTAACTGGCATTAAAGTGGGGTTTTTTTTGCATTACGAGAATAAAGCCAAAATATTGGGATTAAAGTTTATATGACTAAACCTGACATTTCGACAATTCAAGTCAAACTTTTGAGAGGATAAATCAAACTGCTAGCATTTGCCCATATGGCTGCCTCTACAAAATGCTTTGTGTGGGTGAATTGGTGAAATTGTACTTCAGAATCAGTTTAAAAAATAAGGCGATTTCTTTTCCTTTAGTGCATAAATATAGTGTGGTCATAAGTATCAGGATTTTGAAGAGATTGTGCCGAAAACTGTGTCTGTTCAGAAGGCGAAACCACGCAAATGTAGAAGAGGTGGCTGCATTTGTGCAAACTGAAATATCTGGCAATGGACAGATGCAAGGTTATCGATGGTTACACCTGCCTGCAATCCAGAGGGGATATGTTGTATCACAAGATATGATGTGATGGACCAGAGGAGTTGATTTAATTCTCGACATTTAAACTTTATTCACAACAATACGACTTCATTCTTGTAATGCAAAATAAAAATAAAAAGTCCTCATCTCATTTTCTCCCCTTACGCCTGGCCTTAATACTCTTCTGTGTCTGTGGCCATGTTATCATGCATTACAGAGTTTTGGTGAATTCAGGGGAAGTGGACGCCTCCTCCATCAGTGAATCCACACAGCCAGCAGCAGAAAACTTAAATTACGTCACAACACAAAACTGCATGAAAACAGATTATCTACATTTCTCTGCTGATGGTAGGTGCTGCGAAATGCACAAAGCATTCATCTCTGCTGTAAACTCATATTTGCTTACTTTTATTTATTTCCTGAGTGGGAGCACTGAGTGCAGTTCTTACTGTGAGCAACCACAAACGCATTCCCTGCCAGATCTAATCCACTGTGCTTTATTAACCTTCAGTCAGTGTTTGGAGAACATTTCTCAGGCCTCCAACTCTTACAGGCATTTTATTCCCTGCTTAAGAAACTTAAGAAAAACTTAAGAAAATAAAAATGTCTATAAAAATAAAAATTCTTTTTGTTTTGAGGCATTAGTTTGAGGGGAAATCATTTGTAATCGCATATAGGATTGTCTGTTCCAAAGTTTAGATGAAAAACAAGCAAAGATGGCCTAATAACTGTCCATTAGGAAAGAGACGTCTGTAAATCAGTGGATACATTTTTTTGTCCTATTAGGATGTGATACATTCAGTCTGATAACATTTTGAAAGCCTGAGCCACATAATTCAATCATTTTATCAAATCATCATTTTACTTTTTATACTCTGGTGTCTCTGGTGCACCTCCTCTATGAGCCCAAAGATGTCAGTGATCTGGGTAATTTTACACCAAGGAAGTTGAACTCTTTTGGCTTCACGAGCCAACACTGTATACAGTCTTTTCACACATCTATGGCGCCCGTACAACCCTCTGACCCAACACAGACTGACACACACAGTTGTCGATCATGATATCACTCCCCCTTTTTATAGCATCAAATAACTAATAAAGACCACACTTATCAAAAAAAAAAAAAAACATTTGAAAATTCATCAGTGTGATAAGAAACCATCTTTAAAAAAGTTTGACGTGTACTATAATTTTTTTCTTATTTGGGCCAGTGTCCCATCTGCTAACATGGAGGGGGCATCAGCCAGCCACTAGGGGGTGATCAAGATGTTTTGGCTTCACTTTTGGGGTGCTGTCATGCCATCCCTCTTTATATACACTGTGTCACATCGACTGAGCTGCAGCCACCCGACAGGTTTACAGCTTGTTGAAAGCTGATGGACAGCTCATGACAGCTTTCAGAAGCTGCAGAGACAGATGACAGCACATTCACCTGACTGATGAATAGTAAAAATAGGAATATTAATTGTTAAGTAAACAAAATAATCATAAAGATTAGCAACAACAGAAGGACTATGGAAATAACAATGACACATGAAATATGAAACGCATACGTAATTTCACTGTCATGAATATGTTAGAATCTACAATGTATGTCTCCACAGTAACGGATATGTAAGAAAGAGGGACAAAGTTCGGGGCAGGTTTAGTTGCCTTTGGATAGAGGTGTACATATGCTAAGCTAAGCTAGCAGGCTGCTGGTGCCAGCTTCATGTTAAACAGACCGATCTGACAGTGGTGTCAATCTTCTCATCTAACTCTCGACAAAAAAAGCAGATAAGAGTATTTCCCAAAATGCCTAACTCCTCCTCCTATGTTTTAATTTCAGGCTCCTTCTTACTGTGATGTACTGATGCTGCTGCCAACTTCATCTGTGCACTGTTACTAATTTTAAATTAATATGAGGACTCCGATTGTTCTCCAACTTCCTCCAGCACCCGAGCCCACTTACATCCACGCCTGCCATCACAACCATCTTGCCCCCATCGGCGCGTGTGAGTGACAGCCACATTCTCCTGCGGCCCCTCGCGGTGTCGTGGCAGCCTCTGTGCCTCGTGAACCAGCAGCAGGGGAGCATTCAATTGAAAGAGCGCTAATTATCACTAACCACCTGCCAGGAAGAGAGCCCTGGCATATCTTTATCACCGTGGTCATAAAAGCTATCTCTGATTATCATCAGGACATTAAGCTGACAAGACATCTGGAATAGGCTGATTACTCAACGTGATGAGACTTTGAGTGAATGCAATCATTCAGAAGGAACTTTGGCAGAAAATTTAGCAGTAAACAGAGCGTGTTCCTGCTGGATTACTGAGGCGGATACTGATATTAATATCACAGTGTTTTAAAAAATTGACAATGATATATTAGCCTGTAAAATCTTTTTTTTGCATTAAAATATTATATAAGAATATTTTTTAGAAGAATCCCTTGCTTGTTACTAAGATATGTGCATTTTGCAGTTGAAAAATTTCTCATCTCTCTCGTGGATAAACTATGCAATGTTGTTTTCTGGTTTTAAATTTCTATGGCAATCAGTTACTGTACTAATCAAGCGGCAACTTAAGAGGCTGGAAAAGACGCCAATATGGAAGTGCCAAAAACTGCCGTTCATCTAATGGCCAATTGAGCTGGCTCCAAATCAGAGTAAATCTCCGTAGACCCCCATTTTAAAATGCCCAACTTTACAGCTGAAATAAACATGTTTATAGCCTGGTACTAAAAACGGTTTGGGTCTCTGTAGATAATTTCCCCTTCCTGACAACTGTACAGGGGTGAATTTCTATATAACTCAAGGGTTTACATTTTATAAGACCTAAAGTTATGCATATTTCAGGGAGGGGCCACGTGAGTGACAGGCAATGAGTCTATGAGTCAGATCCACCCCTCGCTCCTCCACAGCGCCAACCTTTTGTCCAAATACGGCCTCTTCTGGCTCCAAAAATCCATGATAGTAACCGGAGAAATGCCTAAGTTGAGGCTTCAATACGTCAGTCAACAAACCAATGGGTGACGTCACGGACGTAACAGTTATGTTACTAATCTGCCAAATTTGTTGATTATTGAGCTGCAATGAAATACTAAAATCATTACTGATTAATCGGCCATTTAGTTTCTCAGTAGAGTAGTTGTTTTGCAAAAAAAGCCCAAGGTGACATTTTCACAGGACAGCTACTACATATTGCTTTCATTATTGATTAATCTGACAATTATTTTCTTGTTTAATCATTTTGCCTACAAAAAATAAAATAGTTTTAAAAAATGCCCATTGTTTTCCAGTCTCTAAGGAGACTTCTTCACTTAGCTTTATTTGTCTGATCAATAGTCCAAAACCAAAAGATATTCCATTTAAAATGACTCTCATTTGCAAATGACTTTTTTTGGTTTGAAAATGTACCTGTACGACCAAATCACTTATCAAAATAGCTGCCACTAAACTTTCCATTGCTCCATTAACCAATTACACAAGTGTTTCAGCTACAGCTCTGATGAACACCAAGACAGTTGCTCTTTTTCATCTCAAACACTATGACAGGTTAAAACAGGAGAAGCCCAGGTGTAACTCAATAGATTCATTATGGTGGCTGGCTCGATGACATAACTAACTGGTACATCTAAATGGCTAAGCCGTCATTAATAATATTAGTTACCCTGTGCTTCACAGCTATGACATTTTAAAAATGGCTGACATGAAAGACACATATTTTACAATGCTTGTAAGTAGTAGTAAGTAATCTGAGTGAAAAAACAAACCTTACTCCAACACTGATTCAAATGTATATTACACTGTTTATGCAAAGAATATAACATCACCGTCTTTGGTGGAAGTGGAGTACATGATAGTTTAAAGTAAAATTTCGGTAGGCATTAAACATTTCACTAAACTTCTCTGTGAGAAAGTAAGTTGTGTTTTTAAAAGTATTAATTCAGTATTGATTCAAGAAGAAACACTGTATCACGCTTTGCTTTATTAAAATAAACCCACAATGTGATTACCATGACAGGTGATGAACAATAACTATTAATATGTTCCCCTGTCTTACTTCATAATATCCTAACATTTATTGAAGTCAAAAACTTAATCAACTCAGTCTCTTTGCTGCAGCTTACTGCAAAATTTGTACCTCTGATGATGGTCATAGCGATGCCTCTTTGGGTCAAACTCTCCCCCCACGTCCACAACGATGTCGCACTCTGCCAGCTGTGTCGGGTCCCTGGTCCGAATGATCTCTGCATCCTGTGCAATGAATAGAAAGTTTGTCAGAACTGCAATCATCTATAATCAGGCATCCGATTTCCAGGAAAGAAATGACATCTGGATTTTATGTATAGGCCTCATTTAGGTTTTCTGAACTGTTCAATCAAAGAGCCAAATGCATTTAAATGAATTCCACCAAGACCGTTAATTATGACAAGAGTGTGACCCTAATTGGACCCGCTGGAAGCAGGACTATAGCAGGGTTTGAGCTTGAACAGGCACAAATTGTAATTTTTGCTCACATGCACTGCCGTTCAAAAGTTTGTAATCGCCTTGATTGGGTATAGAATGTTCCCAATCAAGCTTTACTGTACTGTACAGTAAGATGGCTGAGAGGACAACTCTATATTTGTGAACAGATGTTATTATGTATGAAAGTTTTGCAAAAGAAGTTATGTTTTGTAAATAAAGAACAAAACGCTGTATGTTTCAACCAGACTGACAACTGAGAGAGCAGAGAGAGGCAAAGATCCTCCTGAGCAGCAGTTGCATAAGAAGAGAAGAAGTCCGCAGGCATTGGTAAAAGAAACTGGAAGCTTCGCATCAAAATGTGCACAGACTTAAAGGGGAACATAACAGGTTCCTGTTTCAGTGTCAAGTGCACAATAGTAACTTAAACAAGCTGTAATTTATAATAGTGTTGCTTTAGCAAAGCTATTCTTTAAACTTTACAATAGAAACATAAGGTAACTCTAGAGTTCACATTACTTGAATTGTATCAGGGAATATCTGTTAAACACAATCGAAACTAATAAGTCATAGTTTAAATGTATTCAATTTAACCATTGAGTAGACTGCAGAGGGCTGAAAGAAAACATTTAGAGCTTAAAAGCACAGTTACAACTTAATAATAATCTCAGGTCACATATGCTTTTTCCCAGACTGGAAAAGAAATTCACACTTACAGGGAAATGGTTATAACAGGCTTTACCCTTGTCATGCAACACAGTGGGGACATCCATTAAATGCAAGTTTTAATAATTTAATTCTTCTTTTACGGTCAAAACTATTCCAAATGCGCCCCATGTACAAGGCTGTTGCCGCAGCGGCTCGGGTTCGAGTCCAGCCTGTGGCCCTTTGCTGCATGTCATCCCCTCTCTCTCTCCCCCTTTCACACTTAACTGTCCTGTCCATTAAAGGCAAAAAATGCCCCCAAAAATATCTTTAAAAAAAAAAAAAAAAAAAACTATTCCGGATGTTGATAAAACAACTGATATCTGAATTGTACTGTCTTTATCTCTGTTTTATTGAAGGAAAGAAGAAAAAAAATCGATATAAAAAATGAAGCCAAATTTTTGAAGGGTGGTGTAAATTGTAGGGATGTACGATAATATCGGTACATCATCGGTATCGGACGATACTGGCTTTAAAATGAACTATTGGAATCACCCAACATGCTTTTTCTGATTTCACAGGATGAATAAATATTACATATACTGACAAATATAAAGAACTGCATTTCAGGTCTCCATCATCACGATAAGAGTATATATGCATAATCTGATGTTAATTCCACAACAGAGGAGACTTGATGATCACTGAAATTAGGTGGGAAAAAAAGTAGATATATCAGTGCCAGTTTCGGTAATCGGCCAAATGAGTTGTTATATATCAGCATATTGGATATCAGCAAAGAAAGAAATACCGTGCATCCCTTGAAAATTGCATGTGGTTATGTTACATATGTAATTAAAGAGTCTTTTTCAAATATGAATAATAAACATCCTGTGATCATCATCTAGGCTACATCATTGTTACTCAAAAAACATCTGAAAAGGACTCTGATTTGCAAAGACACTTAACACTTTATTGATTTATTTGTAATTCGTTTGTGTTTTTTTATGTGTTGGTGTTGTAAATTGTACATCTTTAACAATTTTGTAATATTTCTTAGTCTGAAACTCTTATTCAATTAAGCAATCTTTGTTTTTATCTTTTTCTTTTTATGCGATGAAGTGCCTTGATGTGTTAGGTATTTAACTTGCGAGGGAGATCAGCCCAATAATTTCTCAATTCATTGTCTAGAAAAATTACTGTATCAACATATACAGTAAATGGAAATCATCATATGAAATTATATATCCTGTGAGTGAGGACTGTATCATCCATTTGCATAGTGGTGTCTGAAGTTTTTAGGTGGGGCTTAGTTTACATTTGAGACAGGGATTGTGCCCTATATAAACACTGGGGAAATCTCAGTTATGCTGGATTGATGTTGTAATTCTGCTTATTAGTACAAAATGAAGGCATGTTCAGTTAATAAGTTACATTAAAATGTGTCTGTACCCCTAAAGGGGAATGTGGGAACATTTTTACAGCGGTGTAACGTTTGTGTTTATTTTATTGACCTTTTTCTGTGGCATTTTCTCCTAAAATGTATGATTACACTAAAATTATTATAAATCTATAATGTTATGATATTCCTGTGAGCTCCATCATCTGTGCAACAGCACCCCCGTCTGGAGTCTTACAACATGACATGAGATGTATGACAGAAACATAAAAATAAAAATGTACTTAAAACTCAGCCAATGCAGACACAAGGATCATTTTTAAAGAGCGGTTTTAACAACAAGGGTTTAGAGTAAGTAACGTTATTAGCTACACAGACTACACTTAAACAGCAGCAGTTAAGGGAACAATACAAACACATATCATCTCTCTTTAACCCACAATGGCAGCACACTGAGCCTACCTTGTACTCAGGTAGCTGACGGAGGAAGAAACAGGCCAGAACTTCATCACAGTGGAAGGTTCCGTTGTGGGTTCCGATCTTTTTAATGGTCATGTTGTCAGTGCAGAGTCTCTTCGGTTCACTTGACATGTATCGTGGTGCTGTGACGTGCACGGAGAGAAAAACACTGCAGTTAGCCTGTGAAGTCAGTAGTCGAAAAACACTTGCTTGTTTGCTTAAGTTTATTAGAGGGGTAGTTTTTGTTAATTTTAGTGCTATGATGTGTACACGCCACATTCAAGCACGACTTGCTTTACACGAGACGCGCCGGGTGACGGACGGATTTGGCAGCCGGACCGGACCGGAAATGGTGCGTCCGTTTTGTGAACCGGTGAAACAAAAATGTTGTTTTGTTTTCTTTTCTATTTAATTAATCTTACTTCAAATATAACATTATATTGTAAATATATAAAATTATAAAAAAAAATACAAAAATAATATTTCATATAATAACGTCAAAAAACTATTATTTTAACTCCATATATGAAACAATAATATCAAGCATAATTTTTTGAAAATAGCTTAAATCGAAAAACAAATACCTACATTAAACTGCACGAGGATTAATAAACGTGGATTCAATATACCTCATTTGTGTTGATTACATATAATTTTTCCGATTATTTGAGGGGTTTTATCAACTTTCTTGTTCGTTCTTATCTTAGAAACAGAGTCAACGAGATAACGTGGTTCAAAACAATACACTTTGTACAGTACACAATATATTTGCCAACAAGACAGACAAGTTTGAGTGTATTGTTAGTAGATTGTGAGCCTGTATTAATATTAAAAATCAAGACCATACCTTCTAATTTTGGTGACAGTCTATTAAAACGTAGATAAATCAATAGAGTAAGTTCAACCCGGGCTTCTTGAGAGTAAGTAAAAAGTGAGAAATTGATTCAGTTTCTGTTTTAAAGAAAGAACACGATGGAAAAATATGCTTTAAATATATGTAATCATGTATAACAGGGATAGTGTCTATGTAATATCTTCAAGTGAACTTCTTATTTGAAATGAGGAATTTATTAGGGTCTCACCAAGGAAACTATAAATTATATATACTTTATAGTTTCCTTGGGTCTGACCAAACCAAATGTTATCTTTGAAAAAGATTTTATTTCCATTTTAATGGAACAATTTGCTGCTCACTTTTCAGAATGCATGTAGTGTATAATGACAGACAGCAGAGGGCGCTGAAGGCAGTGAAAAACCTCAGTTTAAACCCTCAGAGTTGTGGCTGTTATATGTTTCAACATTTCTACAGTGCGAAACTATGAACACCTTGAGGAAGATTTGGTAGCCTGTATAGATATCCCTTAAAAACAAACTAAATAATGTCCTAATATGATTTTTACAGTTACATGTTATTTAAGAAAAGATAAAGAAGTCTGCACAATCATGAATAACAAACAGGATTTGAAATAAGCATCAGCCACCAATGCTGGTAAACTATGCAAGTGACTGGTAGATTTGCTTCACTCACCAGCCAGACAAACAATGGTGATCTCATGAGTGGCTGGTAGATTTAGCAAAAAAAGTTAATTTTCAACGCTGATAACAAATTATGTATTATTTGGCTGGATTACAAACTGGCCAAATTTGTCAACTGCCCAGACCCAGAGGGGCCTCAAATTCACTGTAGCAGTTAGGTTATTTCAATTTAAGGAACAGTGTGTAAGATTTAGAAGAGTTTATTGGCATCTAGTGCTGAGGATAGCAGATTGCAACCAGCCGAAACTTGTCCTGCTTAGAATTCCTTCAATGTTTATTGTTCACGAGGTCACAGAGGTCTACTCCTCTCCAAAACAGCAAATCAGGTCATTAAAATCTGTAAGATAAAGCAGTTTCACATTCAAAATCTGTGTTTCTCCTGCACTGTTTGGCTTGTTGGAGATGGGCCACCAGCCCTGCACCTGCTGATGTGCGCTCACTTTTTTTCTCTGATAACTCAAGAGCCAGACATTGGGAAGTTTTCAGTGAAAGCCACATTGTCTGAAATAAAAAAAGAAAGAAACGCTGAATTAAAATAATAATAGTAGTATTTTTTTCTGACGCTCTCATCACAGAGGGGCTGCTAACTATGGTGGCCAACATGAAAACGCAAATGCCCTTATCTAGAGCAAGTGTCTGGTTTGTCCATTCTGGGCCACTGTAAAAACAGGGCAGTGCAACATGGTGATCTCCGTAGAAGTGGACCATGTTGCATGGCTCATTCTAAGGCAACAAAAACACAACCTTTCTTATTTTCAGGTGATTATACCTACACTTAAAAAAACTATTGTATCATATTGCATTTCTGCCAATATATCCTCCTAAAATCCTACACACTGGACCTTTAATTAACTGCACATTTGTTTGATAACATGCACCAAACTACTGACATAGAATATAAACTGTGATTAAGGGTCCTTTGGCAGGTCATGCATCCTTTAGCTAATCTAGAGGCCATGTGTCAAAGTCAAGTGTTAAAACCTTTATTATCATAATTGCATGTATGTGGTTGGTATAAAAATGTGCATTTAATCATAGTGAGTTAAGTAATTATATTTAATTAATGCAAATACAGGTAAATATGAGCTGCAACGTCAGAATTGAAATGGTATCGTTAAGGAGGGTCAGCCTCCAATCTCACGCCCAACTCTCATTCTCGCGGTATTACCTTCAAGGTTTATTGACAAGATAATTAGCCAGATGGGACCTCCGTAGTAGTCACACTGAAGAAGAGCAGTGTTAAGGCTTTCAGCGTTTTCTCGTGTGGAAAACTGTCATTAACACGGACCCACCAGCGAAAACCAAACGGCCCAGCGTGTCACTGTATTCAACACCGAGCCTGCAAACGGTAGGTTTCCCTATTTTAATTATAAATCCAGAATATGTTTCCTTCAGAGCATGATTTATCCCTCCGATGCTTTGCATCCTGCTCACTGTTTATGCACTGGTCTGATATTGTGTGCGCACTTAGCACCAGCAACAATGCGCATACAAATAAGCTGCTTTGACTTTTAGAGATGCCATTTCCGTCGGTCGGGACAATGGGGAGTCTTTCAAGGCCACAACCACGAGATTTAAATCAGTAAATCAAATCGTAAAACATTTGAAACGATGTAGGTTAAATGTATAACAGCCAGGTGGCGCTGTAGGTCAATTATCCTGAGGAGCTGCTCGGTCTTGGTCGCATAACACGTTGACAGCTCTTTATGTCAGCTTAATGAAATCAATAAACATTGATTTGAGAGGGGGCTTCCATTTCCCTGAGTGGGTGAGGGTGTAGGGTTTCTCTTGAAAACACGACCCATCTCCTTCTTGTAAAAATCCAACATGTCGCCTCTAATTTGTCCAAAACAAATCACCTGTATGTCGTTTAAAATGTTTGGAAGGTTTGGAGGTTTTTTTTTTTAGTAATATGTCTGAGGGCTGCAGAAGTTGTCCAGCCTATTGGTCTTTTATTGAGCCTTAAAAGCTATTTTTTTGCCAATATAGAAAATGTGTTTCAGTTACAGTTTCACAATCTAAAAAAAACAAAAACTTTTATTTAAATCTGGAAATAGCCATCAAGTTGATACCACTTCTAAAACACTAAATTTCATTTTCAGAAAAAAACAGTTTATTCTCTCTGTTGGAGCCACAATACAGTTTTGTTTCTTTATTCTATCCTTATCTAAATAAGGTAAATATGAATATAGCCTACAAATGTACTTATTAAGCTGAACACAGGGTGGAGCGTTCATGTGAATGGCGTATAGGTAAGCTCCAGCTAATGAGAATCAGGTGTGTGGAATGGGAGGCAAACAGTTTTTGACCGTGTTGTGGAAGCATGTTAAAAAGCTTGAAGTATTAGTGTATAAACTGAATTGCTGAATGGAATAATGATTAGATATGGACGATGCTGTGTTTTGTTTAGTTAAAAAGTCACTACAATTTACTCTCTTTTACCCAGAAAAATCAGATGATGAAATTACAAACACTAAAAACTAACTATGGTTAATTCCAACTTCCCACCAGTTTCCACAGCTCAATAATCCCATTGACAAGCATTTGCCATCATGGCCTCACAGCCCCAATCAGCACCATGGACAGCGCACTGCACTGACACAGGCTGAACTGGCCGGCTCATGTTACACTATGTATGTGTCTCTGATGTGGGCTACTTGTATTCCAGGCAACAAAAGTCTCTTTCACTTGTCAGTTATATCCTCTCATTCCAAATGTCACATCACGTCCATCACAGTTTTATAACAAATGATAATTGGTCTTTTTAATTCAGCCGAATAAATGACTCTTAATACAGTTAATATGTGATCCAGTCAAGTGGGTAATTTGCATAACTCTGTCTAATGGGTGACTGGTATTGCTCCAGAATACAAATTTACAAAGCAATGCCACTACCTCTTATTATTCTGAATATATTAGGCAAATGAGTGAAAGATCATCTCATCTTTAAACAAGTCATGTGTGCTGACGGAACATTGCTGGACATCTGCAGCTGCCTAATAAATCAGACACGTGTGGGTCAGTTAAATGTAAATGTGAGGGATCACAAAGGCAAACACCTTTAAACTTATCTGACTAATAATAGAATGTATTTAAACATAGATGGTATTTGTATGTGAAATATAGTTATCTCTGTCTTAGGTGTCTAAAAATGAAATAATATGAGAGGAAAAAAATCACTTTTTAGTCGAGCTGCTCGTAAAGATCAGGAGATATCTGGTTTCTTTTGATTTGCCTTGGAGGGTACTGTAGCTGCCCCTTTTTCCCAAAAATTGAATGAGTCACCATCACAGGCAAACTGAAATAAACAAGCCTGAAAGTAATGCTCATCAGCCAGCCTCCATCCTCGCTGACCAGCCAGCACTGTACCAGATAGCCGGCTCCCCCCCCCGATTGGCTCGGCCCGAACCATGAGATACAGTTGTGGGTGGTTGCTGAGAAAACGTCACAGTGCCTGTGATCTTCCCTGCTGCTTCCAGTTTTACATGCAGCGCTGATGGGAAATGAGGCTGCCCTGGCTCTCCTTAAAAGGAAGAGCGAAACGGCGCTCAGTCAGAAAGTCAATTATTTGCTACAGGGCAAGTGTATGTCACATTTCCCTGAGTTATAGCACCGCAGTGGCTGCTCCGATTTGCAGAAAGTATGTTGTCTCGGTGGTGGATGTCAGATAGAGAACTGGAAAACAGAAATATGATAATATGATGGTTTTGTGAGGAAAAAAACATATTTTAAAAAAATGTAAC